ATCCTGAAAGATATCTGCAAGGCAGACATTGAAAAGTACCAATAATGAAGTTAAATAATACTAGCTATCAAAAAAGTCTTCAAGAGCATGAATGACTAATAGACAAGTCGTGGAAATATGCATTTTCAAAAAGACCTAAATACTCCCCCCTATAAAAGCATTTTCCAGCAAATCGAAACATAAAATATTACAAATGTGATTCTTTCCGTAATATATTGCTAACGAAAAATGTTAGAGATTGTACTTTTGGAATATATGATAGGATGCTAAATAGATTTGTACAAGTTGTGCTTTTGCTCGTATGAATATAAATGGCAAAATTAATATTGAGCAATATAAAATATGTCGACTCAAAATGATAATTTAACTGCGCTATTTAAAATGTCGTTGCAATCCTCTAGTGATATAACCTTACTTGGAAAAAGATATATTTATATATACAAAAAGAGGCAGATTGTCAGATAATAACGTGATAGCAGGTTTGGCCATTATTAGCCGTGATACTAATACTACTATTGAAAGTAACACTGACAATGGATTAGATAGTCATAATTAGAGTAATTAGATTTAAACAAATCTAAAATCCACAGAAAATAAAGCAAGGTCATTTAATATTGATAAACCATGACTGATGCTAGGCTCAAATGTAATTACTTGGAATCATTAAAGATGGTTTGTAGCCTGACTCACACTCAAATATATACATACTCAAACCCACTTACATAAATATATATAAAAACTTAGATTAACACGAAAAAGAATGTTGTGGTACTACGTGTTTTCAATGTAGAACAGCAGTATTTTTTGGTTGGACACAAGAGACTAGGGCATAGAAGTCATAGACTTGGTATTACGGATAGAAACAGAATAGACGCGGTGGAGACTAGAGCTAGTTGGCTAACAGCAGACCTGTTTGATCATAGACGAGGTCCATGAAGCAAAGGCTTGACCATCAGAAGCACTTAGGGTCTTTAGACTCAAATAAGTCTCTCCGAGGCTAACTCTTCTAAGAAATTTATTTGGCTTAAGCTCAAATACGTTTATTGAAAAAAATTAAACATAAACTTCTAACCTCTAGTTGATAGTATTTTTGCGCTTCAAGGTATGTGACCTGCTCGGCTAGTTGTTTTGGGGAGAATTGAAAAAGACCTTTAGAACGAGATATGAGTTTTTCTTCTACCGGACAATGCCGTTCCAAGTGGTGATGATGGGTTTGGTGGTGATATGGCCAGTGGAGATGTGTCGGATGGTAAGGAAAGTGTAAATGCGAGGTCAGGTTGAAGGCGGCACTGGCCCGAATGCTTGCCGTTTGAAGACTGTGAGTTTGAGACTGACAGTCTTGTTGTAGATGCTGATGTTGGGACTGATCAGAGCTGGGCGGCAGTTGATTTGCGGCAGAAGCTAGAAGCAGCGGTCGACGAAAATGGATAGGGGTATTTAGTCGTCTACCGAGTATAGGAGATAAAGTGGTTGGAAATGATAAGGAAGAGACAGAGCCAGTACAGATGGCGGATTCAGGGTCTTCCACGGAAGAACAAAGTTTCCTGGCGGCCCCAACTTCCACAAGTCGGCAAGAATGGCAGTGAGGCAGAGCATTGTGATGGGAGATAGAAGAGGACGAAGAATTGTTAGGCGCATTGGATGTATCAAGAGCCGACGTTTTTGCTCGCTGTGGAAATTTGTAAAGTTTGCAGCCAAATATTTAAGCATGGCATATCTTACAAAATCACACTCTTTTATTTGAAAAAAATATGAGAATAAGGAAATGAAATAAAAAGTCGAGCAATATATCGGGGGATAAGGAAAAGATGGGATACAATTAAATAGTAAATAGCAAACAAGATGAACGAGGAAACAATGGAACGGTAAAGATTAAAAGTATGGGAAAATAACTTCGATTTTAAGCATAATGGATGCGTAACAAAGAAAGTGTGATTCACGAAATCCAGTGGTGAAAGTGTATGCAAGCTGTCGGATCTACAAGATTAGAATTTTTGAACTAGACTCTACCTCTAGTTTTC